TGCATACATTTTAATAATGAACTATGCTGTGTTTTATTTTTCAGTAAGGTATGACTACCTTCACTTTCTGCCCTGGGCCCTAGCATGCTGTCTGACCAGCACGTGGCACTGAAGTCTCTCTCCTTCCTGCTTGAGTGTCTCTGGGAGAACGATTAAGGGAGATGTCCCATATAGAGTGAATCATCCAAGGGAAGAGGAGATCTTCCGGGATCTAGTTCTGGAAGGAAAAAGGGAGGGCAGAGGAGGGAGGCCGGCACAGATGGGTAGGAGGTGGTCAGGCTGGCGGGGCGGGGGAGGAATGGGGACTTCTCTCTTCTGAGAGGTCTCCCTCTCAGACCCCCACTCTCCACTCCCCACCTCCACCTGCAATTTAAGAGATTCCATCAAGGACTTCTGGGAGAAATAAGAATGACTAATAAACATTAAAGAAAAAAAAATCTCAATTTCACTAGTAACCCTGGAAACAGACATTGAAGCCATAATCAGATACCCTGAAGGAAGGGTGGGGTCAGAATGCTTTCTCAACGAGTGGAACCTCATTTAATCTGAAAATTGACTGCTGCCTATAATTATCTGGATGTAACTCAAGTCTTAATTCAGATTTTCCATTTTTAAACATATAAGTGTTTCTGGTCCTGAAAAAAAATAGCCTCATATTCAGGAATACCACACACTGGTATTGGATCACCACTACCCACAAGCCATCTCAGGGGACAACAGTATAGCCAGAAGCTGTCATGGTGTGGCCGTCAACTGTAGGACCGAGAACTCACCGCTGATCTGGAACATTCTTCATTGTGGTCAGAAAGGAGATGACCAATGGCAGGGCTGGAGGGTGTGAGGATCCTGAGAATATGGGGCTGGAGCTGAGACCTTAACAGCAGGTGAACAGCCTCCGCTGGGTGTTTGGGAGAGCACTGTAGGCAGAGGGAACAGCATGAGCCAAGGGCCAGTATGTCAACCGGAGCCATATGCCTGGGAAATGATAGGTACCAGTGTCCTGGTTGGTGGCATGTGGACGTTGGCATCGGATAGTTAAGGGCCATGGCAGGGAGGCTGAACTCAACCCATTGGGGTGAGTCTTCAGTGTTTTTGAGAGAAAGCACCAGCATTTGGGTAAATTTTAGAAGAAGCCCTCTGTGTATGGTGGCCATGAAGAAGCAAGACGGTATGCCAAAAGCCAACAGCAGGAAGCTGAGAGGCAGTGGTGGCTGGGGCAGTGGTGGGGGGAATGGAGAGAAGTATTGGAGAGACCTTTCTAAAGCAGGTTGGCAGAATGCAGAGGTGAGAGACAGGGAGGCGCTGGGGTGGACACCCAGCCTTCGGCCTTTGGTGACTGGATGGATGGCGATGCCTTTATGTAGAATATGAGGAAGGGGAAGAGTCCGTCTGGCAGAGACCTTGAGCTCACAGTTGGACTTGCTGAGTGTACATGCTCAGACCACCACCGGGGCGCAAGTCCAAGTCTGGCTCTGCCTCGGGGCACGTATCTGGTCAATCATTGCTCCTCCCCGCTGCCACGGGCATTCCAAGAAAGATTTGACTCTTCTTCGTATCGTGTCTCTGATGCCTGGTGGGCGGCCTTGGATTAAATGGCCACCTACATAAGCGATTGGCCAACAAAACGCATGCAAGAAAGAGGAGAGGAAGGAGAAGGAAAAGGGGAAAGGTCGGGGGGGCACTCTGAGGACCCCCATTTGAGAAATGGTTGAGAAAAGGCAGGGTAAGAGAGCGACCCCTGCTGATGTAGCATCGCCAGCTCTTCCCGTGTTGGCAGACACAGCAGCCACCCAGCCATGAAGCCGTCAGACACGGTCCTGGGATGGAAAGCTCGTGGTGACTGGCTCAGCCTGACGGTGCGGGCTGGAACGGGCCAGAACTGGTTCTGTCCATTTTCGTGCATGATCTGCTCTATAGACAGTTCATGTGAATAACCCAGCTAGTCTCTCCCCATTTTCTGACTAGACTTGGACTCACACACCCAGTTCACTGTCTCATCTTTCCGTATCGTATTTACAGAGGGGAAGTTTCCCTAAATATCATTAATTACCTTAAGGAATTCAATAAGTGGCTGGGGCACCTGGGTGGTTCAGTCAGTTAAACATCCAACTCTTGAGTTTGGCTCAGGCCGTGATCTCACAGGTCATGAGATCGAGCCCCGTGTTGGGCTCAGTTCTGACAGCACAGAGCCTGCTTGTGCCCTCTCTCTCTATCCGTGCCCTCTCAAAATAAATAAAGAAACATTAAAAAAAAAAAGAGAATTCAATAAGAAGAAAGACCTAAGGAAGGATTCCTTTTTATTAATAGTGGAAACTTCGGTTATCAGTTCAGGAGTCCAAAGCTCTCCTGATGAAAGCTAAGAAACAGAGTCCCGGGATACTTGAATGAGTTTCTCAGTTTTCAGCTGGTTTGCTTAACATCAGAGGCCTCACGTAATGATCTTGTTCTGAGTGATAGCACCTGTTAAATGATTAACACATGATTTTGTGACTCACTTTAAATTTTTTGTTGCTGTAAAACTAACACTGCAGCAGAAAATTTAGAAAACAGGGAGAGCAATCTCCCGGAATCCTGCCCCCATCACTAAGGGCTGATAATGATTCTGATTCTACGGTTCCAGTCCTCAGCCTGAAGCAGAGAGCTTTTTAGCTGTAAACACGGTGCACTTTGTATCCTGCTTTTTTTCACTTAACGTTATCTGATTCTTCTTTATGAGCAATGAAATCTGATGCGAGGTGGCTGGTCACACGGTTTCTTGAGAGACATTGTTGGAAGGATTGGCGAGTATTTTCTAAGCCCCATCGACTTCGGGGAATCAGGAAATTAAACTTTTTATGTATTGGTCTTTGACTTTCCCATAAATGGACACAGTTTTTCCAGGTTTGACTGGATGACTGAAGCAGACACCAGCTGAACAAAGGCAGGCCGGTGAGCAATTAGGCATTAGGTGGAGGTCAGGCGCTGCTTTATGGGGCCATTAGTAGTCACTCAGCTGCCTTGAGGGTTCGAGTCGGCTCCTGGGACGTTAGTTACCATTAGTTTCTTTGATTTCCAAAAACTGGGGTTTTTTTGGGGGGGTACAAATGTTTAAAAACGAAAAACTGGCTTTTGTACAGTCTCTTAAGGGAAAGGATAAAGAATGTTTGTTATATATGTGCTTTTTTTTTTAAATATTTTTATTTATTTCTAGGAGAGAGAGAGACAGCGTGAGCAGGGGAGGGTCAGAGAGAGAGGGAGACACAGACTCTGAAATAGGCTCCAGGCTCTGAGCTGGCAGTCAGCACAGAGCCTGACGCGGGGCTCAAACCCACGAACCACGAGATCATGACCTAAGCGAAAGTCGGACGCTTAACTGATTAAGCCACCCAAGTGCCCCTATATATGTGCTTTTTTGAAAAACATTTTCCGGGGCACCTGGGTGGCTCAGTCGGTTAAACGTCTGACTTCGGCTCGGGTCACGATCTCACTGCTGGTGGGTTCAAGCTCCGCATCAGGCTCTGTGCTTCCAGCTCTGAGCCTGGAGCTTGCTTTGGATTCTGTGTCTCCCTCTCTCTCTGCCCGCCCCCCACTTGCATACTATCTCTCTCCATCCACCCTGCAGAGCCCGTGGAAGCCGGCTCCTCACTTTCCTATCCAGCAGAGGAGGGGGTGTGCACACCCCCCACCCCACGCCGCTGCACAGGGAGGCTGTGATCTTATTCCATGTTCCTCGGCCAGCCCGCGGGGTTGTGAGTCTTGACCAGTGCTCTGGAGCAAAACTGGGTTTTGCTGTGGGCACTTTTCCTTGTGAAATGCATCTCTGCATATATTTAGCTCAGAGCAAAAGTTGTTATCACAGCGATTAAATAAATAACTAAAGGGAATTTGTCTTCAGAGGGGGGAAACTGAAGCGTTCTTTTCCATGAATGTGGCCTCAGTAAAATACTTTTCTCTTTAGAGAGCCATCTATCCTCACCCACCCCAGCTTTGTAAAGCAAAGTGATCATTGCCATTTCTAGAATGAAAAAAGGCCACTTTGTTAAAAATCATTAGTTTCGGGGCACCTAGGAGGCTCAGTTGGTCAAGCGCTGGACTTCGGCTCAGGTCATGATCTCACGCTTTACGGGTTCGAGCCCAGCGTCGGGCTCTGTGCTGACAGCTCAGAGCCTGGGGCCTGCTTCAGATTCTGCGTCTCCCTCTCCCTCTGCCCTTCCCCCGCTTGTACTCTGTCTCTGTCTCTCAAAAATGAGCCGAGCACTGCAAGCACCCAGCCATCGATGGGAACACAGACCTCATCCCCTCTGCGGAATAAACCCACAGTCCCTCCCCATTACCCCACTCTTAATTTTACCTATCATTAGGCTTTCAGTGAGTAAATAAATGAAACCCAAATAACTACTTATATCCATAAGTAATCAAAATGTATTTAGTGCTGTAGCAAATAGTTTGTTTTTCTAATTTTCCTTTAATTAGCAGGGAAAGAATTAAAATCAATTTCTCATCCAGCGGATAAAGAATTAGGCTCTGCTTCTGCCCTTACACAGACCCAAATTTTCATGTGCGCAAGAAACACAAATTCATAATTGTTCTTTTATATCTTATGTACCCAATATTAAACACATTCCTATGACATTTATCTTATCTCCCTGATCACAGCTTAATAAAATTATAATTATGACCTTTCAAAGTATTATTGCCTGATCCACACTTAATCGGCATTCTTAGCTAGAAACCTCAACTCTTACAGGGGGGTGGCTGCATTTCCTCGGCTGACAGGGACACTGGACTGCACTCAGAGGGAGGGCGAGTCTGTCCCCGCTCAGCCCTGTGCCCCAATGCCCAAGGCAGAGGCTCAAAAAGCAAGTCGTTGAGGGATGAGTAAACCCATGTGGTGTTTGGGCGTGTTTACATTTATTCAATTGGTGCCCGTGAGAATGTGGCTCACGAGGCCCAAAGGGAAGGGGGCAGAGGCCTATTAGGAAGAAGCTAGAAATCAGGCCAGGTTGTGTTGGCAAACATACCTGCTTTGATCAGAGCTGTGCTGATCGGCTAACGACACTGAGCTCTCCAGTGACTGTGGGTGCGCAGGGCCAAATCCTTCCTTTTAAAGATTCTGAATGTGACAGATGTCAGGCATTGGTTAGGTTAGACGTTGGTGCCTGTTCTCAGGGGAACAGTCCGATTTCTTCCATGGGATATTGTTGAGGCTTGTCCTTCCTCCTTGGGGACTCCCACGGCGTGTGTGGAAGGATTGCACACGCCACTCACGGCTGACAATGGTCCTGGACACTCACACCAAGGTTATAAACAGCAGGAGAATATTTAAGACAGTTTCAATCTTTCTCCTTCAGGCCTAAGGTATAGCGATGTGTTCTTGGGCACGGAAGGCCAGATGCTCGTGCTGTCGCTTATGATCCTGTGAACAACTCTATGACCCTGGGTCATGAGCATACCTGGTCCTTCTGCTGGGAGCCAGCGTTGTCCACTATAAGTGATGTGACCAGACCAGCGCCCGGGTGATGCCGAAGTAACGCTTCTTGGATCCGACTTTCTGAAGCTGGCTTCCGTTTGGGCCGAGGGAAAGAAGGGAAGAAAACGTGATGTGTGCTTTTATGTCGGTGTTGCCCAATTTGGAAACCTGCAGATCTGTCCGATTTCGACTGGGGGAGAGAATACAGCCTTTGAAGTTATTTTGGTTCATTCTGTACAGAAATCACACACTACACCTAACAAATCCGACAATTTCATAGAGCCGTAGTCAAGCGTGTGAGTTACGATTTTATTCATTCCATTTATTCAGTGAGTCAGACTCTGACAGGGAGTTGATTTGTTGTTTAATATTTGGGGGGGATTATTTTGGTATATTCACAACGTGTTTACTTAAATACTGTGTGTTAAATGAGATGTTTTCATTTGTTTTGATAGGTACTTATAAAGGCAATGTACAGCATTTCACACTTACACAGCGCTCTCCGAGTCCTCCGCGCAGCACGGGGACTCAAGAATGACTACCCTGAATGTCCGGGAGTGCCAGCCTCACTTCACCCAGAGAAAAGCAGGACTTGAGCCATGCTGTCCAGCCACCAAACCCAGAGCCGAGCTAAACGGGCTCTACCCAAATCTTGGATTCCCAATATCTCACTCTGACCAAAGATTGTGGGCAGCAGCAAAGGGCCCAGAGGAGGAAATGGATTCTTCTTGCTTGTTTTATGGTTCTTAGGGTGTTACCATAACAGCATGGATTCTTCCCTGAACTCAGCAGAACATATGGGAAACCTATACTTAGCCTGTCATTTCAAGCCCTCCCTCCCGCACACACAGCTCCCCGCCCCCCCCACCCCCCCCAGGACTCCTCAATATGGTACCAGTTCTGTAGATTAAAAACAAAAAAATGTTATTGGGTGAAGTGTCCTTCAGTCTTGACCCACGGGACAGCAGCGATGTGTCCTGAACTTTGATCAGAGCTGCAGTTGATGGCTGAAATGCCGAGTGGACATTGTTCCGGGAGTGACTAGCCCATCAGCCGCCGCAGGAACAGCAAGCCACCGCATCTGAACCTGGTGCGCAGCCACCAGAACGGCGATGGCTTTGGCCAAAGTCAGCGACAAAATGTGCAAAACAAAGAGACGGCACAAGGCAGTCTTTAAAAATAGTCCTAAGTGTCAAAACAGACCAAATGAGAATGTGCTTCTCTGCCTAAAAATAGACAGTGTTTAAGAGCTGGCTTCATATAAGAAATCGTCTTCTCTGCTCTTTTAACTCTCTCATCTTTAAGGGTCTGAGATCTGATTTTTATAAATGAGAAAGCCAGTTGTTAGGCACATGCTTACAACATGCACATCTGAAACTCCCTGGTATGACTCTAGGATGGATACCTGGCAGTGTGACTCGGAAAGAGCATTACTAAGCCATCAGCTGTTCTTTTCGCGTCTAAGTCATTTCTAGGATGGCACAAGTCCAAGTCTCATTCGTTAAGACAGCAGAAATCTATAAACACCTGCATGTAATTGATTAGTAAGTTGGGGTTTCTTTACCTGGCTGTTTATTCCTCTGTTCAAAACAACGCACTAAAACAAAGAACCAACAATGGCAAGCCATTGACATTGTGCCAAGTTATTAGAGAGTTTTATTTCTGTAAAGTGGGCTTTGTATTTGGGGCGTCCACCTGAGGCCCTGAGGGCTCCCCTTCCATTAAAGCGCTTTGTCCTTTGTTCTTGGTTCACCGGATTGAGAACGAAAGGTGAGGTCGTTGGACAGTGGTATTTACATTTTATGTAGGAAACAAGTGAGAAAAGACTGGGTGTTTAAGGGCAAGTTATCTAATTTGTGTTTTTGTCGATGGTAAACATACCCCCCTATTCTTTAATCCCAAAGGGCAGAGGCTGATCTTCCCCTATCACCATGTCCCTCCTTTACCCAATTGCAGATTTGGTTCTGCAAATGTTTTTGGCGAGTTTGTGAATTTCATCCCTAGTACATTGAATTTGGGGTAACTCTTGTTGGAGATTGTTGGCATTTGGGTAGAGATAGGTGAGGTGAGGCAGGAGGGAGGCAAGTGAGGGTTTGTGAGGGCACCAGGGAGTAGGGGGTGGGGGGAGAGGAAATGGGAGGAAATTCACCCCACATCCGGCTCCTGGTCAACAGCATGGAGCCTGCTTGGGGTTTTCTGTCTCCCTCTCTCTCTATCTCTGCTCTTCCCCCAGCCCCTCAAAATAAATAAGTGCTTAAAATACACACACACACACACAATTTTGTAGGAATCTATAGTTCTTTCAAAATAAATTTTTTAGGGGGTAATTACACATCCTTTTCAAACACGTAGAACAGTTACAAAAATGGACCACGTTAAGCCACAACACTTTTAACCTTTACAGATCTTAATTACTGACCAGAATGCAAAAATTAATCAGTTAATAAAATATAGACAATGAAAAATAACAAAAGAATAAATGAAAAAAACATAGTTTTTTTTTTTAAGTTTTTATTTATTTATTTTGAGAGAGAAAGCATGCTTGTATGTACGCAAGCAGGGGAGGGGCAGAGAAAAAGAGAATCCCAAGCAGGCTCAGAGCCTGACTTGGGCCTTGAGCTCAGGAACTGTGAGATCATGATCTGAGCCAAAATCAAGAGTCGAACGCTTAAGCAACAGAGCCATCCAGGTGCCCCACAGAAAATATACTTCTTAATAATTCTTGGATTAAAAAAGAAAATCACAATCTACTTTGAAATGGATAACTTTTCTGCTTTGTCGAAGATTAATTGACTGTATAGTTGTGGGTTCATTTCTGGGTTTTCTATTCTGTTCCATTGATCTATGTGTCTGAGAGGCAAACCAAGAAACAGACTCTTAACTATAGAGAACAAAGCGGTGGTTATGGGGGGGGAGGTGAATAGGGGGGATGGTGGGAACAGAGGATGGAGACTAAGGAGAGCACTTGCTGTGATGAGCACAGGGATGTACGGAAGTGCTGAATCGCTGCATTGTATACCTGAAACTAATATGACACTCTATGTTAACTAACTGGAGTTTAAGTAAAAACTTTTTTTTAAAGAGGGGGGAAAAGGTTAAAGAAATGATAAAAATAAAATGACCAATCAGTACATGAGCATGATGTGTCTACAAAGTGGCATTTGAAAGATCGCCTTGCTTATATTTACAAGAAAACAGGAAAGGCTGCAAATAATCGAGTTATGCTTTCACCTTGAGAAGCTAGGAAAAATAAAAATAAGCCCAAGAACAGAATACATAAACATGAAAGCATAAATTAGTGAGATCAAAAGCAAACAAGAGTAACAAAAATGTAGATTTGGTAAATAGAGCAAAGATGTGTGAATAACATTTAACATGTCAAAAGACAGGACATAACTTTAAAGCATGAAAGAGAATAACTGTATTAAATACCCCAAATTCAAAACTCCATATAAAACAGATGATTTCCTCTATAAATAATACTAAACCAAAATTAAATGGGGACCTCTGCCTGGCTTTGCCAGAGGGGTATGCAACTCTTGATATTGGGGTCATGAGTTCGAGTCCCATATTGAGTGTAGAGATTACTAAAAAAAATAAATAAATAAACTTGTAAAAAAGTGACCAAAATTAGAGAAAAAGAAAAAAAAAGAAATAGAAGATACAGACTAATCTCCATAAAATACATTGAAAAGATGTTCAAAGATCCAAGTAAAAACTGTACCACTTCAGGAGGTTTAGTGGCAAATTCTAAAGATATTAGCAATTTATACAAGCAGTGTCAGGGCATCGTAAAAATAGATTTTAAAATCTTTTTAAATTGGCATATCGAATCCTCTATTGATCAAAAGAATAATACCTCTGGGGCGCCTGGGTGGCTCAGTCGGTTAAGCGTCCGACTTTCGCTTAGGTCATGATCTCGCGGTTCGAGGGTTTGAGCCCCGCATCGGGCTCTGTGCTGACTGCCAGCTCAGAGCCCGGAGCCTGTTTCAGAGTCTGTGACTCCCTCTCTCTCTGACCCTGCCCTGCTCATGCTGTCTCTCTCTCTCTCTCTCCTAGAAATAAATAAAATATTAAAAAAATTTAAAAAAAAAGAATAATACCTCATATCATAAACAACTACAGTTTGTCTCTAGGAATGCTAGAATGGATTAGAGAATCCATGAGTATACTTACTACATTCACAAATTAATAGAAAAAATTTATATGATCATCTCAATAGGTGCCAAAACATCATTTGCTAAAATGTCACCCCATATATTAACAATGAGAACTATAACAAACTTGGGGCACTTGGGTGGCTCAGTTGGTTAAGCATCCAACTCTTAATTTCAGTTCAGGTCATGATCTCATTCATGGTCATGAGATCGAGCCCCGCATTGGGCTCCGCACTGACCCTGCTTGGGATTCTCTCTCCCTCCTCTCTATCTCAAAATGAATGAATAAATGAATGGACATTAAAAAAACTACAACAAGCTCTTAGAATTGTTTCATAGTCTCAAAGGAGGTCCTGAGCAAGGCACCTGGCATCCAGAAGCCATTGAAGAGGAGATTCATACATTCTATGACATGAAAATACATGCAGAACTAAAAACATAGTGCCTGCCACACCTGTACAAGGTGTTAACGATGGGGGAAACCTTGGTCGGGGAGGAAGTGGGGAAAGTGGGTGTATGGGAACTGCACACTTCCCATTCAATTTTCTTGTAAGCCTAAAGTCTATTAATTAAAAATATATACACTAACAAAGAGGGAATAACTAACAAACTAGATAAAACACTTGCAACACATTTGATATAAAAGCCTCGATATCTTAATATTTCAAGAAACCAGGGGTGCCTGGGTGGCTCAGGCAGTTAAGTGTCCTGGTTTGTGAGTTCAAGCCCTGCACTGGGCTGGCAGTGTGGAGCCTGCTTGGGATTCTCTCTCTCCTTCTCTCTCTGCCCCTCCACTGCTCACTCACTCCCTCTCTCTCTTTCAAAATAAATAAATAAAGTTAAAAAAAATCATACAAATAATTGAAGAATAAGAACCAACAGAAAAATGAGTGAAAGATACAGAAAAATGTTCACAGCAAAAGAAACAAAAATGGCTTTTCAATAGCTACACACACACAATGAAAGAGACTCAAATTAAAATATGATACCGTTTTATAGCTAACAAATGAGTAAATATTTAAAAACTTGATACTTCAAGGTTGTGGGAAAACAGAGGTGCCCATATCTTGTATCTTGTTAGTGAAGTTGTAAGCTGGAGCATAGCTCCTTTTGGGAAATTTGATCTTAAAATTTTTTAAGTGTAATGTAAACTTGGGGCGCCTGGGTGGCTCAGTCGGTTGGGCGTCCAATTTCAACTCAGGTCATGATCTCACAGTCTGCTAGTTCGAGCCCCGTGTCAGGCTCTGTGCTGACAGTTTGGAGCCTTGAGCCTGCTTTGGATTCTGTGTCTCCCTCTTGCTCTTTCTCTCTACCCCTCCCCCACTCATGCTCTCTCTCTGTGTCTCAAAAATGAATAAACACTTAAAAAATTAAATGTGGGGTGCCTGGGTGGCTCAGTCGGTTTTGCGTCCTATTTCTTCTCATGTCATGATCTCACTGTTTGTTTGTTTGAGCCCTGCGTCGGGCTCTGTGCTGACAGCTAGCTCAGAGCCTAGAGCCTGCTTCAGATTCTGTATCTCTCTCTCTGCCCCTCCCCTGCTCATGCTGTCTCTCTCTCTCAGAAATAAATTTTTAAAAAACATTAAAAAATTTTTTAAATAATAAAATTTTAAAAATTAAGTGTTAATGTAAACCAAAATTTAAAATCCACATATTCTTTGGTTGAACAAGTTTATTTTTATGAGTTTTGCCATGGTAGATGCTCATAGATGGATGCAAATATTTATCTATAAAGCTGTTTATAGGAGGAAAAGACAGAACAATTACATATATGCCCATCAAAAGACTCCAGGACCATGGCACACCCATGTAGTGAAATACTGGGCAACCATGTTTTTTTTTCTTAAATAGTTTATTGTCAAATTGGTTTCCATATAACACCTAGTGCTCATCCCAACAAGTGCCCTCCTCCATGCTCATCACCCCCCTTCCCTTCTCCCCCACCCTCATCAGTCATCAGTTTGTTCTCGGTATTCAAGAGTCTCTCATGGTTTGCCTCCCTCCCTCTCCCCCCCTATTTTCCCCCTTCTACTCCCCCACGGTCCTCCGTTAAGTTCCTCCTAATCCTCCCATACGTGCAAACATGTATATGGTAGCTGTCCTCTGCCTGACTTGAGATCGAGCCCGGCATCGGGCTCTGCACAGGCAGCTCAGAGCCTGCTCCTCCCCGACTCGCTATCTCTCGCTCTCTCTCTCTCAAATAAAAGAACATTTAAAAAAGAGAAAAAAAACAATATCTAAAAGAGAATTTGATGGGGGAGAGACAAATGCAGGTACCATTGCTAGGAGTTTAATTGGTCCAGTCTCTAAGGTAATTTGGGAGTACTTATTAAAACCTAATGCCAGCACTGACAGGGGAACTCTGCAGATATTACCCCAGAGATGCATAAACTCATGCACCCCAAAAGGTTGTTCAGAATGTTCACATAGCACCAGACCTGACAGCAAAAAAGTAAAAGCAATTCAAATGCTCGTCAATAAGGCAATTTCTAAAAGCACAGTACACTCATATTGGGGATAATACAGTGCAGGAGTTTTAAAAGCAAATCAGTCCATTCATACTGACATACCAAGAACTCCCAAGATGCGTTGTTAAATATCAAAAGAAAGTTATAGAGCATCATGCGCTGTATAACAGTTTATGTTCAAAATGTGTATGTAGTTATACATTGTAAGTGCAGAGAATAAAAACAAATGATTAACTTACTTCCAGGGACAGGACAAGGATTGGAGATGGGATGAAATCAAGGGGGACTTCTGCTTCCTCTGTGTTGTTTAAACTTTCAAAAGAGAAATGTAATCGTATATTAATTACATAATTTTTAAAACTTCACCCCAAGTGAATGCGGCCATTTTAAAGTTCATTTAAAAACATTTTTGTTTAAGGGGCGCCTGGGTGGCTTAGTTGGTTAAGCGTCTGACTTTCGCTTAGGTCATGATCTCGCGGTTCGTGGGTTCAAGCCCCGCATCTGGCTCTGTGCCAACTGCCAGCTCAGAGCCTGGAACTTGTTTCAGTCTGTGACTCCCTCTCTCTCTGACCCTCCCCGGCTCACACTGTCTCTCTCTCGTAGAAATAAATAAAACATTTAAGAAAAATTTTTTTTGTTTAATATACTTTCATTTAAAATGTGTATATCTTGGGGCGCCTGGGTGGCTTAGTTGGTGAAGCGTCCGACTTTCGCTTAGGTCATGATCTCACGGTTCGTGGGTTCGGGCCCCACGTCGGGCTCTGTGCTGACTGCCAGCTCAGAGCCTGGAGCCTGTTTCAGAGTCTGTGACTCCCTCTCTCTCTGACCCTCCCCTGCTCACGCTGTCTCTCTCTCTCTCTCTCTCTCTCTCTCTCCTAGAAATAAATAAAACATTAAAAAAAATAAAAAAATAAAAAATAAAATGTGTATATCTTCACAGATCTTTATTTTATACTTACTTGAGTGTTTTTCAACCTTATTAAAAAACAGAAATATTTTAAAGGTGGGGAGTGATAACATAATGTGTAGCTTTTCTAGTTTCTCAATCTAAGGACTTTAATCTCCGTTTATTGCTGCAAGAGTACGTCACCTCAGCATAAGGCTTGTACAGTCTCTAACCTCCAACTTAAATCCTATTTCAACTAGTGGTGCTGGGCCAGTGCAACACCAATTTACAAAACCCATCAACAATCTTCTGCAAGGATTAGGGCTCCCGTGAAGAATGAACCGTTTGTCAATAGTGAAACTTACCTTTGGATTTTTTTTCAAAAACTCTGTATAGCTTCTCTGAGGAATAAATTTAAAAGAGTTCCATATCTCATTATAATGTCTTGGGAAGCGTCTGAAAATTGGGACCACCACGATTTCTTGACAGACGTAAGATATTTGGTTATTTGAAAAGCCATCAAGACAAGTCGGGACATAGTCACATGCCCACAGGTTGAAATTTCTTGACACCTGTTGCCTTTTCTCTGGGGAGATCTTCTTACGTCCCAGGCCCTGGAGAAAAATTATAAGATTAGGAGAAAAATATTTAAGGTCTTTAACAAAACCAGCTACATGAAGTCCTATGTCTGGATGCACAATATGGCAACCGCTTCATGAGGTATCCTTTACCGGCCTATAAACCAGCACTCAAAGCATGCTGGTGGTGTTTCATGATCATTCTTGTAACTTCCCACTCCCACCAAGGGGTCAGGTCTTCTAGAGATATAGAGGGCAGAACCAGAGAGAGACTACGGCTGAAAATAGCCTATTAGGCAGCCTAGACTCCCAGGCACCCTGGGCAGGTTCTCTGCACCCAGGGTGGCACCTCCATGAGTCGGCCTCTGGGGTAGATGGTTCTCCCTCCAAGAAAGGCTGAATTCTCTCCCACACAGGAAGCAATACCTGTGGGGCTCTACCCACAGGATTCCTCATCAACTCTCAGGACCTCACATGTGAACCTGAGAATTACTCTGTATTCAGAATTGTGCTTTTGATCCGATCCATAAGTAGGAGAAAACACCATGCTTAGACAAAAGACTAGAAGGAAATAGACATAACGATTATCCAGATTTTACATTATAGATCATTGTAGATCCATGATGGAGCGACATCGATAAATAAACGGGAAGTTGAAAAACTCGCAAGTCAAGGATCCTCTGTAGCAAAGTGAGTGTGTTGTTTCATAAGGTCCAGTAGCACTCAGAGTGACAGCAGGTGGCACACTTAAATTAGGGTAACTTGAAGAGAGTTTGGTAAAGGGCCTATTTGTGGAGAATCTCACAGGAACAGTGTAGAGGTTCTAGGTCCAAGGGTTGAGGAGGAATGTAGTCCCCATCGATGGGTCCCTGGCGCTAGGGCAGAGAGAACAGGAGACACTGGTTCTAGAGACAGGAAGGGAAGACACTGCCCAAGCACCTTTCTAACATCATCCCTACAGATAGTCCAGGAAAAAAATAATGAAATAAAAGAAAAGGAAGAGACGAATGAATTGGGGAAAGATATACAAGGAAAGCAACAAGGAAAGCTTGTAATTAAGTCTAAATACTTGCTGGGAATAACAACGGGAGCCCTAGTCCTTCCAGAAGATTGTTGATGACTCAGTTAAGCATCCGACTCTTGATCTCGGCTCAGGCCATGATCTCACGGTTGGTGAGTTCAAGCCCCATGTCAGACTCTGCACTGGCAGCACCGAGCCTACTTGAGATTCTCTCTCCCCACCCCTCTCTCCGGCCCTTCCCTGCTCTCTCTCTAAAAAATAAAAAAATTTTTAAAAAAATGAAAAATGAAAGAAAAGTTGAAAGTCTAAATACTTGCTGATAACTATGAAATATATTGAAACTTCAGGTAAGAATTTCTTCTTCCACAAAAAGGAAGAAATGGAGGAGAGAGGAGGTGGGGAAGGAGAGAAACAAATCTGGAACTGAAGTTTGCAGGATTTCAACTTGACAGCTTTGAACCCCAAGAGGTACCACTGAACACTATCCATGAAAATAGCACCTCCATGAGTTGGGACAGCACACGCTGGCCACCAAAGTGAGGAAGGTCAGTACGCTGAAGAACTTGCCATATCCTTGGGGGCTAGGGGGTGGAGGGTAACTATAGGTATTACATTTTATAGTCATAGGGTAATATAATATCAATGTAAATCTTAAATATTTATACTTAAGGGCAACCACGGGTAGACAATAGAAATCAGCATGAGCAAATAAATTCAATCTTGCTAAGTAAGGAGAGGGGGAAATAAGAAGAAACAAGGTGCAAACATGGTAAATAGGAAACATACAATGAAGCAAATAAAACCCAAAACAGAAATGATCATAACAATGTGAATGGATGGAATCCTTATACAAAGAAAAATGACTCTTATATTTTTTTAAAAAATGGTCTATGCTATTTATAACTTAAAAAAATACAAAATGACTAAAAAGTATAAAAACAAAGAAATAAACCATAATATAAGTAACAAATGTTAGTCATAGAAAAGTAATACTGACAAAGCTAAATTGCAATTTAGAATTCATGGCTAAAAACACGAAAGTATGTAAAGAGAGATACCTCATACTGATAAATAATAAAAGCCACCAAGAAAAGAAAATATTCATGAGTTTTTATGCAGAAAAATATACTAAACTATATAAAATAGAAAGAATTAGGTAAGGCTAAAAGAATTTAGGAACTCAAGAATAATCTTAGAAGGAAAAATTTACACATCAAGGCAAAAATTAAGAAAATGTCATGAAGGAATTGAATAACATAATTAACAGTCTTTAATAAAATAAAGAACTTTGAAACTAACTTTGTTAACACCCCTGAAACACTTGTTAAAATTAATCGTGTACAAGATAATAAAGATAAACTCTATAATTCAAAATTCATATCTATAAAACTTACATAACCTATAGAACTAGATATTGGCAATAAAAGATGATCTGAGAAAATTCTAACTGTGTAGAAAATTCAAAACATTCTTCTAAATTATTTTTAGAATCAAAAATTACATCATAGACTATTTGGGAGCAAATAATAACAAAACTCTAGTTTAAAAAATGTTTAGATGTAGCCAAAGCAATAATCTAAGGAATATTCATAGTTTTAGTACTTTTACTAACAGAGACAGTTGCAAGTATGTGAATGAAACATGCAACCAAAAAAGATATAAAAGATCAACAAAATATGATTATTTTAGGAGATGTTATACCAATAAATTTGAAAACAAATAAATATATTTTAGGCACATCTACTCAAGAAGAAATAGAAAGTTTAGGAGTGCCTGGCTGGCTCAGTTTGTGGAGTGGGTGACTCTTGACATCAGGGTTATGAATTCAAGCCCCACATTGGGTGTAGAGATTACTTTAAAATAAAATCTTAATAAGGCACCTGGGTGGCTCAGTCACTTGATCACTTGGCTCTGGATTTTGGCTCAGGTCATGATCTCACAGTCATTAGAGGTTGTGAGATTGAATCAGAGATTCTCTCCCTCTCCCCTGCCACTCCCCTACTCACATGCTCTCTAAATATATAAATAAACCCTTAAAACTTTTTTAAAAAGAAAAATAGAAAGTTTGATTCTATAGGTTAATAATGGAGAAATTAAAAAAGTAAAACAGCACAAAAAAAAATTCAAAACAAAAACTCTAATAAAGTTTCAAACTCAAATAATTTTATGGGCAAGTTCTACCTAAATCTCATTAAGCTGAAATTCCACACTTTATATAAACCATTCCAGAATGTAGAGAAAGTTGGAAAGCTTCCAGTGTTTTCTATGAGACTAACATAGCTCTGATAAAATACGTGTGGTACAACCCTGTTTATATCATTAACAAGATATACACTTATATGTGTATATTTGCATGTGAATTGCAAAAAAAAAAATCACATTTTGACCCCCAAACCCTTATCTGGGAGTCATCAAGGTAGGATTGTGACGATGGAAAGTAAGAGTGTAAATTTTTAAGAAAATGTATTTAATTCTGTGTTCTTTGAAAGTTGTAAAGGACATATGTTACTTTGATAATTTAAAAAACGATGTTAAACATTCCATTTAGAGAAGCTTGCAGAGTGGATATTCTCATTCTGTGCTCAACACTCTGCCTGGGAAAACCAGATTTTTTTTAGGTTAAACTACTTCAATTTAGCTTCAAGATGGTAGCCTGGAGGAAAGAGTAACTTCGGGCAAGCTTTTTAGTATCACTGCTCTTGGGTTCCTCATCTCTAAATTGGGGATGATGAGAATAATTAGCCAGCAGTGTTGTCGTGAGGATTAAATGAGACAGTAGGAGATGCTAGTACTTGGCAAATGCTTTACAAATGATGGGTATTAGTAACATCATCATTGTCATTGTCGTCATCATCATCATCATCATCATGGACTTTCAGATTTGGTAAGGATTCTCAGAGATCACCTGATCCAACCCTCTACCCCAGATACATTAACTTTCCCCTGCCTAGTTTGACAGCCCCTGGCCACATGAGCACTGCCAGTGTGGGTCTCCCAAACTGAGAGGTACCACAGGTAAAATACAAACTGGATTTTATTTTATTTTTTATTTTCTATTTTTTTAATGCTTATTTATTTTTGAGAAACAGAGGGACAGAGCATGAGCAGGGGAGGGGCAGAGAGAGAGGAAGACACAGAATCCGAAGCAGGCTCCAGGCTCCGAGCTGTCAGCACAGAGCCCGATGCTAGGCTCAAACTCACAAACCACGAGATCATGACCTGAGCCAAAGTCGGCCGCTTAACCGACTGAGCCACCCAGGCGCCCCATGAATTGGATTTTAAAGACTTAGTTGGGGGAATGTAAAATATCTCATTAGTAATGTGTCTATTGATTACACTTTGAATTGATAATTCGGGGAATTATTGGATTAAATAAAATACATTATTAAAATGAATTTCACCTCTTTTTACTTCATGTGGGGACTAGAAAATTTCAAATCGCACATGCAGCTCATGATATGTATTTCCACGGCACAGCGCTGTGTTAACCACCACAAGTGCAATCGGACTGCTTTCTCCACTGAGGGTAACTCACCACCTTTGGGCAAGAGACAACTCCACCCACTGGGAAGCCCTTTGTACTTTGTAAGCTCACCTCCCTCTGACCTGTCCTTGTGGGGCTTGGTTCTGTCCACATAGGAAACCCCTCTTTCCCACGAAAGCTCGTGCCTCAAAGAATGAGGCAGTTCATACTTTGAGAAGGACGAAGTACACAGAAACATAGGCAGAAGGCTGGTGCAGACTTTGAAAGCTGCGTGGAACTTTGAGCGCCACTTCCATTTTTTAAACCTGCTATGAGATGTGGATTTTGACCTTGTTCCAATTTGGGGGAAAGTCCTCCAGCATCACGTGCCTCCCAGAGGCGCTCCCAGTTTTACTAGTAATTTGGAGGGCAATACTCACAGAGTCAAGGTAGCATCCAGAGCTCTGAAAGCTGTAGCGATTGTCGTGTACAGAGAAGGGGAAGTTGTTGTCCACTGCTTGCTGGAAGAGATTGGGGAAGAGTTGAAAAGACACATGTCAGAACCCCAATGTGCTTTCAGGGCCCTCGGACACAATTAAACCCATCACGGGAGAGGAGCTAATGGCACAGGACAGTGAGGTCGTAGGTGCGTGTCAACTCAAGGCTTTAAATCTCAACCTTGTGGGTGTCTGGGGACTCAGTCGGTTAAGTGTCTGACTTCGGCTCGGGTCATGATCTCATGGTTCGTGGGTTCGAGCCCCGCATCGGGCCCTGTGCTGACAGCTGGCTCAGAGCCTGGAGCCTGTTTCAGAATCTGTGTCTCCCTCTCTCTCTGACCCTCCCCTGCTCACTCTGTCTCTCTCAGAAATAAATAAAACATTTAAAAAAATTAAAAAAAAAAACTCAACCTTGGTGACCTTGTGGAAAATCATAGAAATTCTCTTTCAAAACACCTTCTTTGGAGGCACAGAAGGAAAAGTGTATAGGTTCGTGGAATTAAAAGCTGGAAAGGGACTTTTGAGGCCATCAAGACCAAACTTCTTCATCTGACCCATAAGGATCCTGGCCCAGGTTGGCAGCATCCATGAGCTAAGGGTGAAGTCTACCCTCGCTTCTCCCCGAGGCCACTTCGTGCCCCTGAAGTTGCTCGTGAACGGGCCAGGGAGGCAGAACGTGCATGTTAATGATCTGTGCGCTGTAACCAAAGGTGATGTTTTCCTGTTCACAGATGAGCTTAACTGGATTGTCTGGACTAGCAGGTGGTTCCTTCTGGGGAGTGTTTGAGGTGTCACAGTGACCAGAACAGGAGCTGGGATGCTACCAGCATGTAAGGACCCGAAGATGACAAAAGAGTAGTTCTTTCCAAGGACAAATTGACCGGCCAGAAATGCCAGTGGTGCAGCCCCGTTGGAGATCCATGGGGACGTGTGGCCCGGGGCCAGCGCTCTGGACTCACCTTCTCTCGAACCTTGTAGATGGGTGGTAGCTTCCCCTCCACTTGCCGAGACAAACGTGGACTGTGGGGTTCTTTTAACATCGCACTGGTGATGGATTCTGGTGTCTTTTGCGTGAGTCCAATCTGAGGGAACTAGAAAACCAGCACACTCCCTGATTAAAACCAGATGCATCTGAACCTCAGAGCCAAGCATCGGGGCTTCCTCTGTAACGTGATTAAAATGCAATTTGGGTGCTTCTGGTGTGCGCTGGAAATGGCATAATTTTCATAATTTGCAAGTATTCTTTCCAAGACCAAAAAAATATTGTCATGGCCCAAGGCCATCACTGCCGGCTGTTTCAAGTTACGGGGGCCGCGCCTGCCGTGTGGAGCCTGGAAATGTTCCTGTGGCCTGGCGAGGAGGGCGTGGCTTTGTGCTCAGAGAAGATAGAAGTGTGTTGAGCTCTTCCTTCCCGTCAGGGAGCTCCCCGTACCGGGGCTAAGGATCTAGCCCAAGTTCATGGGATGAGCCAGCCTCCTGCAGGTAGGGGGTGGAGGAAAACACAGCTGACTCTCCACTGAGAAGGCAGGATGGTAGAGGGTAGAAGGAAAAACTAGGGGATAGGATACAAAGCAAAATATTAATAATAATAATCGATTATCTGGGGAGGCTGTTGGCATCTCCCTATGGACAGGAGGAAAGGAAACAGGACCGGGCAGAGGAAAGAGTTCCCAAGAAAGGCTTTGATCCACCCCACGGAGAACTCTGGGCATGTGCTGGCCTCTCAGAATCATCCTGAGTTAGGGAGAGGCGACTGGGTCTTTCTGTACGCTCATTGATCAGTCACCAGGTATGGGTTGATCTAGGAAGAGGGGGTAATTTTGAGGAGGCGGCTCTCTTCAGCCAGGGGATATCCCTAGGGTTAGGGCACCGAGGCCGTCGGACAAAGAGAGGAAGCATCATGTGGTGGTTGGGTCACAGACTGTGGATTCAAAGTTCCTGAATCCAATCCTGGCTCTCCCTCCTATGGGGACAGCCTTATGCAAGAGACTTCGCTTTTCTAAAGCTCCACTTTCTTTGTCTGGAAAATTGGGATAACGATACTTATTTGACAGCGTGGATGTGACGAAAAGAGAATGTGCCTGCCCCGGAGAGCACTCCATACCTGTTAGCAGGGTGTAGTTTTGCTCATAGCTGTCCCCTCCTTGGATCCCCAAACCCACCGCCACGCCTCAGGCCAGGCCTCCTTCCTTTCTCCTGGATCACAAGGGACCTGGCCAGCATGGCTCTCCTCCCCCATTCCTTCTCACGTCACAGCGGAACTGGACACCCACGTGGCTCCTAGTCACTGCCTGCATGAGTGTGTTCAGTACATTACTGTTTGTGTAAAAAGGTGGGAGGCTATGTCCTGCATGTTGGATACTCGGTGGGCTGTTCTCCGCAGTAGCGAGAAGCAATGGGCTGGGTGACACCCAGCCGCTGAGTGGCCTTTTGAACACAGTGCTGAGTTGGGCGGGGGAGGGGGGAGGGAGGTGCAATAGAAGCCAAATGAGATCCATGAGCCAACACCATTTATGTGAATAAATAATCCGTGCACACGAGACAACAGCGCCTAACTTACAGGACTCATCCGAATCAAAGAACTCTCAGGAAATACTTTTGAATGAAGGCATGTGGAATGAGGAGAGATGGGGGTCAGAGCAGCACCCAGCCAGCGCCCAGGCAGCCAGGGCTCAGGACCCAGCCAGCAGCCACACCAAGGCTCGGGGGGGGGGCGTGAGGGAGGAGGGATGGAGAAGGGAACCAGGAAGCATGACTTTCCTTCCCCTCTTATGTTCCACTGTTTACACAGTTCTTAACTAAGTGCACCCATTACATTCTCCTTTCTTTCACAGCAACAACAAAAAACTGTATTTGTTTCTGATTACAGTTGTAATCCGTACTCACGGTTTTAAAAAACGTGAACATAAAAACTTAAGGAAATCAAATTCCCCTGAACTCACTGGTGACCCTCTTTTGGGCGCATCCCGGTATACGCACGTACAGCCATGGATGTGTCTATGTGTATAAGTTTGCACACCTAGGATCACATTATACATGTGGTTTCTAAACGTCATGAACGCCTACTTATTGGGCAGTAACTTTGGGTTCCTTTCTCCTTCCCCTCGCCTCACCCCACAGCACCATAGCCACGGCTGCCTGCTCAGACACAGACACGGCCACCTGCAGAGGGGGCCTTCCATCGCTTTACAAACCCTGGACCTTGAGGTACATCCTGTTCTGCTCTTTGCCTTCCACTTAACAAGATACCCTAGACATCTCCCGGACTCAACCTATAGGTTTCTACCTCATTCTGCTATCTTTTTTAATGTTTTAAAACAATTATTTTTCCAAAGTACATATAAATAATACAAAGGGCCTCCAGACTCGTGACCTTTTCTTTTCGCCCTTCCTCGGGTCTGGCTGTGATAACATTCCTGTCCAGGCAGCTATGGAAAATCGGGGGTAGGGGGTGGGAGTTTTTCTACCATCAGGAACCATCCCTCTCACCAGCTAAGTGACAACTGACTTGAGTTCATTTGTATTCCGGAAGTCTATGGACTAAATCACTGGGGGGGAAAAGGCTCTAGCATTTTAATTTCACTCTTTTAAAATATATATTGAATGGCGATAACATGATAGTTGTGACATAAACCCTTCTGTTAGATATTGTAACCATGAAATAGAGCTTTTTAACTAGTTGGTGGTGAGATTCGTGCTGCATTCAATCACACAGCGACTGCAATATTAAACAGGAAGGTGAAAGCGTATGGAAAAAGCCTCTCCTACCCGGCAACAGCCAGATTGCAACCAGCAAGGTCAACTGCAAAATGACTGTCACCTCTAATGTGGCAGTTACTGTCCTCCCAAATGGGCAGCTGCTGAGTCAAAGCCAACAGTTTCTTTAATTTTCCCAACTCATCTGCAAGTCACTTTGGGAAACTTCGTGATCAGCACTATTCTTTTTATGCTCTTGGGTGCCGGCAGCGGAAGGGACCCACACCACGTGCTCAAGTCAGACTTTGGAAAGTGACGCCTCTTCACCTGAAATCGGGCTCTGGGAAGTTGTGGGATCGCAAGACTTGCTTTCTCGCATATAACAGAACCGTGACTTTGAGGTGGTGATATGACTGCTTAGAAAATACCTCCCCAAACTCCCGTGCAATGAAATCAGCCATGTGACCCAAAGAGATGAAAACAGAGGTCTGCAGGGTGGCGCCCCGGGGATAGCTCTGTTCTCCCCCCACAAAAGGACAGACTTAGCAGACAGGTGCCTGCTATCATTTTGTTCCTTGACCATCCCCCCTCATTTACCCGCCTGAGTCGAACAGCCACACACCAAGGATGACAGAACAGAGGACCGAAAAGAACAGATGACCCCCCACGAGCATCTGTACCAGCCCTGAGCTGCCATCTTCTGGATTTATTGTTGCTCAAAAAACACAAACCCTTATTGGGTTAAGACACTGTAGTCAGCTTTGTATGATACGCAGTCAAACACAGTCCTCACTGGTACCGTAGATGATAGAAAGAGGGGAAGCTAGTCTGAGAAACGTGTATTTTTCTCTTCAACACTGATTGGTGTTATGTAGTTCACACTATTTCCCATTTTACTTTGGCTGCCAGGAATCTCTGTGTCAAATCTGATGATATTATATAAATAGCTGTCATGTAGGCCATATGGCCTGTGTTATGTATTTTCCCAGTCTCAGCCTCTTATTCTAAAATATATTCAAACTGTATCTAAAGCTTTATTTTTTTATACTTTCCTATTTTATTTTGAATATTTTCCATATATTACGGTAAATCTTTGAGGAATGAAGCAGGGTATATAAAGAAGAAAAAATATATGTATATTATTTTATATTATAATATTATGTATATTAATATATAATAGTTAACAAGTAATGAATGGTTACTCTGTTTCCATGCATCATACTAACCACTCTGAATTGTGTCATCAATCCACACAATGACCCTCTAACCTTGGTGTATACTATGATCCCATGTAACAGACAAAGAAACTGATTTAGAAGGACTACGCTGCTTAGCCAAGCTCACACCCAAGTGGGTAAGTCAGTTTTTTAAAGTCTTCAGACTGAAACGTTCCAAGGCATTTTCCATTTTTCTTTTTCCTTTTAAACAAACAAAAAGTGTTAACTTTTCTATGTATTACTGCCCTGATGCACCAGTAAATAAAAAAAACTAAGATTCCCGCCCCTACGGAGTCTGTATTCTAGAAGGGAAGAGAAACAGCATGCGTGATGTAGTAGATTATATAGCATTTTACAAGATAGATGTTATGGAAGAAGGAAAAAGCACGCAGCAGTGACTGCCTAAGGGACGCTCGCAAGTGTGCTGAGTGTTTTATATACAAGATTTCTTGCATTTAATCCTTGCGAGAATGCTCTGAGAGTCCCATTTCACAGGTGAAGGAACTGAGGCTAGGTGAGGTGATTCCTCAAGAGGGATGCCGCAAGAAGTAGCAGAAGCGGGATCTAGACCCACTTCTGTGAGCTTGACCACACCCACGTGACCTGAGAAAGGCCAGAGAGCCGCCATCTTTCTTACCCATCTTCCGTCCTTGTCTAAAGGTGGGTTGAAGCGTCTCCCTTTGACCATTTTCTGCAGGAAGCGGAAGGTGGCTGAGGCTGGCTCCCTCACCTCCCCATTGCCTTGTAAACTCTCTGCATCCGGGAGACTCCCTCCTTCCTTGTTCCTGACCTTCAGCCTCTACCAGAAGGGGAGGCCCAGGGGTACCCACTGTTGCCATAGAATTCTAACTCCCCTGTCACAATGGGGGAGGGCTGCGGGTCTTCTAAGCCCTCTGAGGGTTCCTGCACAGGCTCCCTGCAGCTGCCCCAACCAGGCCCCCGCTCAGGAAGCCCCATTGTTGGGTCACACAAGTGAGGACAAGACAGCCTTGAGATAAAGGCAAAATCTGTACCCTCTAAATCCTTGAACTGATGATTTTGAGTTGAATGCCCCCCTGGTAACCATCTATTCTGCCGCCGGCCTCCCCCCATGTCTCAGCTCAGACCCACCATATGCTCGCCTTACCGCACACCCCCGAGGCCACGAGGAGGCAACAATCATGACCTGCCAGGTGCTGTGCTGAACTGAATACTTTTTCGTGTTTTTATCTTATTCTCCACGACAACCTTTGGCACTTACAGATGAGGAAGACGAGGGTCACGCAGAGAATGGACCAGGCGCTGGGTCACGGGACAGCTCCAGAGCTCACGAGCCTTCCAGAGGGCCATCTGCCCGCCTCCCAACAAGTTGCAAAGGCTGCTCCTGAAAGCTGGACTTTCTCTCCAAGCCTGGACATGCAAGTCTGCTTCTCTCCTACTCAGCAGTGTGATTTCTGCTTCCTTCTCTCTTTCTTTCTCCCTTTCTTTCCTTCTTTCTTTCTTCCCTTCCTTCCTTCCTTCCTTTCCTCCTTTCCTTCTCTCTTTCCCTTTCTCTTCCTTCCCTCTTTTCTTTCTGTCTTTCCTACCTTCCTTCCTTCCTTCCTTCCTTCCTTCCTTCCTTCCTTCCTTCCTTCCTTTCTGTCTCCCTTTCTTTCTTTCTCTTTTTTTTTTTAATGCTCTGTCTTGCCAATTCTCTTGGCTATTCCATGAAATCATAAGAGGAAACATCTGTAGGAGACTGTCCAACACTGTCTTTTGCTAACAAATCATGTGTCCTCATCGCCTAATCACCAACCTAGGTATTCACACAAGACTTTCCGTGTCAGTGACATGGGACCTCTCCCCTCACCAGCACTGGTGGCCCAGAGAAGTGGGCTCCTGATGTGATACCTGGGGTGGCACACAGTCCTCTTGCAGCCGTGAGGCTGAAGCCATGCAGGGGAAAAGATGAAGGACAGCATCCCTATGTGCCGGGGAGCCAATGTCCCAGCTCCAGACAGATGGCCCTGCTGCGTGGGGGAAAGGAAGGCTGCTGCCTGCTACCAGCCGACAGTCCCGGAGGTGAAGCTCTTCTCGCCACTCTGCTGCTGTCCTCCTGTGGCCCAGAGGTGGCTCCTGTGCTCCACGCAGCAGGATGGAGAGGGTGTGTCCCAGAGCACGGGACTGGCCCAGTCCTGGCCCCGTGGTTCACGACATGCTCTCATTGCTGGCTCAGCTGCTCTTTCTTTCTGTTTTTAATGTTTGTTTATTTCTGAGAGAGAGAAAGCAAGTGGAGGAGAGGCAGAGCGAGAAGGGACAGTGAATCCGAAGTGGGCTCTGTGCTGACAGCAGAGAGTCAGATGTGGGGCTCAGACTCACGAACTGCAAGATCATGAGCTGAGCCGAAGTCGGACACTTAACTGCCTGAGGCACCCAGGCGCCCCCAGCTGCTTCTTCCTAAGGCAGGTTTCTCGCTGCTACTATGCAACGCTTCACCCTGTGAGCCACAGCTTGGTCACAGGGTCACACCCCAATTTAAGAGAGGCTGTGGGCTAGGCTTTGTCCTGGTGAGGTCTTCTAGATGAAGGTTCCATCACCCTGAAAGGGAACAAACATCAAGGACAACCAAAGCCTCTGCCATCCCTGACGGGTGTAAAATGCCCCCTTATCTGGGATGTGAATTGCCCTGCATTAGGAAGGACAGGCAGAAGGTGGGGCGGGGGGAGAGGTCTGCCGTCAACTTCTCAGCATTGTAGCGACTGAGGAAATAGACCCCATAAAAGCACTTTGCAAACTGGAAAGGACTTTGCAAAACTAAGGACGGACACGTGTGAAAAGCACTTGAGTGTTGACCACGTACCTTCCTATTCACTGCTCTGTCTGACTTCCACCAGGCCCCTAAGAGACGTGCTCATCGTTGTCTTTTTGTGTGCTCCCCCTACCCCAAATCTTTCTCTACCTGTCCCCACCCCATTCTGCACCCTGGAGGCCAGCCTGCAAAGACTGAATACCCTCTTTGCTACACGTTGGCTCTGGTTGGGTTCACCCAATAGGAAGAACCAGTGGGAATTGGAAGGGCAGGAAGAGCTAGGGCAAGGTGAGGCATGCTGGTAAATGGCTGATGACTTGGTCTCTGGGAGACAGTCTGACTAGTGCTGTTGGCCAATTCCCATGGTGTAAATACTTCTGCCATGATTTTTAAGCTAACACTGATGCACATGGAGTTGGGAAGAGATGTACACATAGGCTCCGGGACCCCTCCCTGCATTAAAAGTTTGATCTCCCAGGCTCCCCCCTCCCAGACCAGACTGTGGAAGGAGTTGTGTTGTTCTACCTACATCTGCCATCAGTCTCGTGGCCCCTGGCTCCCAGCTGCAGCTCCTGCTGTTAACAGCAGCCTCTCCCCAACCCTTTGGCCTAGGGGTGGGCAAGGCTTTTGGCTCTCACTGGTCCTTGTCAGCCCCCGAACCCTGTCCACATCTCTCGAAGGACACCCTTCATTAGACTGTCTTCTGTCTCAGAGTGGGCCATCTGGTTCCTGCTGGGATGCAGACCAAGGCCGACGCAGGCATTAGCCATTATCTCCACTTTTTTTCTTTTAATTTTTTTTTAATTTTTTTAATTTATTTCTAGGAGAGAGAGAGAGAGGCAGCGTGAGCAGGGGAGGGTCAGAGAGAGAGGGAGTCACAGACTGAAACAGGCTCCAGCCTCTGAGCTGGCAGTCAGCACAGAGCCCTACGCGGGGCTCGAACCCACGAAACGTGAGATCATGACCCAAGCGAAAGTCCGACACTTAACCGACTAAGCCACCCAGGCGCCCCAGCCATTATCTCCACTTATGGAAGAGGAGTCCAAGGGGCACCTGAGTGGCTCAGTTGGTTAAGCGTCTGACTTCAGCTCAGGTCATGATCTCATGGTTCACGGGTTTGGGCCCCACGTCAGGCTCTGTGCTGACAGCTAGCTCAGAGCCTGGAGCCTGCTTCAGGTTCTGTGTCTCCCTCTCTCTCTGTGTCTCCCTCTCTCTCTGACCCTCCCCTGCTCATGCTGTCTCTCTTTCTCAGAAATAAATAAAACATTTTTTAAAAAATGTTTAAAAAGAAAGAGGAGACTGAGTCTCAGACAAGCAGCTGGATTCCCCAGTCACACAGCCAAACATGGCAGAGCCCGAACTAAACATCCAATGTACTGAGGCCGAGTTCAATGCTAGCATGAAGCAGAGCTCACTCTGCACCACTTCCCTGACCTGTCCGAATTATTGGTCAGTGACTTCAAGGGAGATTGCTTTTCATTCCCTTTCTTTGATAAAACAAGGCCTATCTAAATGCCTACCTCTTGGCTACCTTCCCTTCCCTCTCTCCAGTGACCTCTGGAGATCACAGGCCAAATGATTGACATCGTCAACGGAAGTGAAGCCAGGCAACACCGCACACGTGATGGGATGGTGGGGGGGAAGAGGGGGCAGAAGCACAGAATGTGCCCCTTCTATACTCCAAACCTGAAAGGAAAGCAAGAAGGACAGAAGAAGCCCAAGACTTTGAGTTTAAAAGTGCCATTTCTAACACAGTATTTCGTGTGCAATCACTTTGTGAATTCTCTCACCAACAGAGCAGAAAATTTTCTAGAACTGAAATCTCATTTTAAAATATGTTTTGCATCTCCTCTGTAGTTAGTCCACACACTGTTAAACAAAGAATGTGATCACTGGCCAAGGTGTGTCCCAATTTTCCCCCTTTGAATGATTGTTCAAAATTCTTAACCAATTTGTCCAAGGTAATCAAAACGGAATAAAGAACACCCAGCCAGGAAAAACAAAATTCAGTTTTTCTTCAGCTATGATTTCTCGGCCACAGATGGGGCTAGGGCTGTTCATTGTTGATATTATTATTTGCAGAGGTTTGAATTACTGGGTTGAACTTGGCAACCCCCCAGTCTGCACACAAGTCCTGGAGCACTTAGAGCACTCGGGTCACTGGGGTCAAGGTCAGCAGAGGCTCACGCTCCATCCTGCCTTGTGCTTTGCACACGCGGGGCCCCTGCTTGGAACGCAGTGGCGCAAGATGGCTTGTTAGAGAGTGTCCATGGAGGCAATGGTGAGCATGTGGCAGAATCTACTCACTAGGTCAACAAATATTTACCCAAGACCCACTATACACCAGTACTGTTTTCAAACAACACTAAGGCAATAGCCAAAATTCGTCTTCATAAATAACAAACCACGAATTTACCAATACATCCAATGGTCAGTACCCTAGATTATTGATTAACCAAAAATTATTTTCAGTGAATGATCGACAGCAAATTGTTTTGCCTAATACACATATTTTAATGTTTATGTATTTGAGAGAGAGTGCACGTGAGTGTGCATGCATGGGAGCGAGTGTGGGAGGGGCAGAGAGAGGGAGAATCTCAAGCAGGCTGCACGCTGTCAGCTCAGAGACCAATGCAGGGTTGGATCTCACCAATTGTGAGACCGTGACCTGAGCCGAAATCAAGAGTCAGATGCTTAACTGACTGAGCCACCCAGGCACCCTGCCCCATATATTTTTTTGACTTAATAGTTGTGTGCACTTTGACTTTATGTACTTTTGAGAGAGAAAGAGACAGTGCAAACAAGAGAGAGGTAGAAAGAGAGGGAGATACAGAATCCGAAGCAGGCTCCAGGCTGAGCTGTCAGGACAGAACCCAATGTGGGGCTCGAACCCACGAACCGCAAGGTCATGACCTGAGTCCAAGTTGGACGCTTAACTGACTGAGCCACCCAGGCGCCCCGCCCAATATTTTTTTTTTGACTTAACAGTTGTGTGTATTTTGACTTTTAGATCTTGCACACCTCAACTGTTAAGGAGTTTATGAAAGGTAGATGTGTCTATCTCTTCCATGCGTTTCCAGTGTGGTATGCCAGCCATCCCTTGTTTAATTAATGATGTGTTATCTTTTGTAGGAGAGAAA